GATGACTCTAGGTACCGTTGTTTTTTTCCCACAATGCGAGAAGCGTACACACATTCACGTATATTCTTCATTATTTAATTGCTTTAAATACCATACAAGGCGATAATATTTGGTGTCAACAATTTTAAAGTGATAGAGAATTTTATAGTGATTCGACACAAAATCCCGTTTCGAGGCTAATAGCCCTTCTGGGCTAACGTCCCTTTGGATTAATAATTCTTTGGAAATTTTTTAGTCTTTTCACTGATAAAGAGGCCATAACCTATGACAGGGACGGTCAAGACAAACTTTTTTGGTCGCTGGAAAAAAAAAAAGGTTCCGCCAAGATAAATTTTTCTAAAATTTTAAAAACAATATACAAGTATTACAATTTAAATATGTTAATGAGATGATTGAAATTGCGATTTCATTTTTAAAAGTTCCTTATATTGAGGTTCGAAGTGAGATGTACTGATTCTAAGGAACGAAGCTAAATGCTCATCTGTCAGTCTGCTTCTGAAATAATTCTTTCTAAGGTTCATAGTTGAAAACACTTCTTCGCATATATAAGATGAAGCAAACATAGCACTGATTTTCTGCGCGTGACATATTAAATTTGGGAAACTTACTTTCGATAATGATTTGTAAAACTCTAACTTTGGCATATTTAGAAACAACTGCTTGAGACGATTTTTAGATTGCAACTCCACTAATTCAAGTTGCAAATCTGACCTCACTGTTTTACAATTTACGTTGAAAGGCATGGTACAAATATCCAATTCTGTTTGAATGGCACTGAAATCTTAAAATCTGCGTTCGAATTCAAAATGTAGTTTTTTTCAACCCAGCTTCATAATTCTTAAGCTTGTCTTCATTTACTTAAGATATTGAATTTAACCTCGGGAAATGAAACTAGTCATTCTTAGCTAGCTAGCTGCCCAGCAAACAGATTAATTTTCAGTTTAAAAGCTTTGAGATGGGCCAAGATATTGTCGATAAATTGATTTGTCCCTTGCATCTTGACATTCACGTTGCTCATGTGACAAAGATCTGTGAAAAATTCAAAGTCCGAAAGCCATTCCGTAACAATTCTTTCTAACAATTCGCGCTCCGCAGAACACTGTGTGTCGTGGAAGAATGACACAGTGTCGTCTTTCAGATGCCAGACTCGCTCAAAAATGCATCCTGCACTAAGCCACCTTACTTTCGTGTAATACAGCACATCAGAGTATTCAGATTGCACGGACTAAAGAAAATCTCGAAATTGCCTGTGAGTAAGTCGAATAGTATTTGCAAGCTTCACGACTGCATCAAGCACTGGTTTCATATTCAGTGCAAATTTACACAGAGCGTAGAAAAACAACATTGTTTCCGAGATAGTTCTGATTAAAGAGTCCAAGAAATCCATTTTTTCTTGTCATATTTGGTGTTCCATGGGTAGTAATATTACGTATATTTATCACAGGCACTTTCAAAGTTAAAAGTTCTTCCTGAAATTCACGAAAAGTATCACATCCCGTTGCAGTTCCATTTAAAGAAAGCATGCACGCCAGTTCTTCGGCAATTTCAAAGTTCTCATTAACACCTCTTATAAATAATACTAATTAAGCAGTACTATTTATATCAGTGCTTTCATCCATAGCTATGGAGCAAAATTTAAACTGACCAATCTTTGTTGTCAAATTTTTGTCGATGTCTTCAATTCGATGTCACCGTTTTTCGAGACAAGCTTATAGTCTCATATTTTTCTTGTCTGGACATAAAACATCACAAACTTGGAGTAGGCATTGTTTAACAAACTCCCGATCACGGAGATGGCAGTATTATATGCTACAATGTAACTTGCATGTGTAGCTGCTTCTTGGATACTGTTTACCTTCTTGAAAAATTTTGTCGGCCTGATAATTTTTTACAAAAACTTTCTGCATTTCATTTTCTTTCATATTCGGACATTGCTTCGTAATTAGAATTCTTATGCTTAGATGTGAAATGACAAGAAATGTTATATTCTTTGAAGACTGCTACAGCTTCACTGCAGATGAAACACACTGGTTTATCTTTTACAACTGTAAAAATACCTTTCCATGTCCATTCATCACTCCAGGTACTCTGAATCAATTTCAACCCCAAAATGACTACTAAAAAAGTAGCCATTTTGGGGGTTGAAATGCCACATGTGACGTCTAATTCACCTATTGGATTCCCATATGTCTGCTCCCCGAGAAAGAGATAACGCTTGTTGGAGCCAATCTATAGCTATAACTAACAAAGAAATCATGCTTTTAACACTTTACCGATTGAAAGCTGTCTGTGCTTGTTATTTTCGTCAATTTACGTTTTATAGAACAAAAACAGAGAAAGTAAAAAGATCATCAGTTCTTTGAAAAAAATGGGAAGAAAAAAAATAATATTTAAACAAAGTAGAAAAGGAGATGGATATATAATGTATAATTATATATTTCTTTTAATTTGCCTCGGACCGGCAAGTTAAAATTATATCCGCGGACCGGATAGAACCTTCCGGCGGGCCGTAGCGTTCCGCACTGCGGAACAGATTCTTTTTTCAAGAATAAATCTGTAATAAATCTGTAAAAATATCTGCACTCATGTCCATAAATTAAGGATAATTCGGAGTCAAGCGGAAATAGAACTCTAAAATAATTTTATCACCTGTAAAATCACTACACATATCTTCAAGAATCATATACAAATTTCAGGAAGTAACCAGATGACACCGATGGTACGTCACAATGACGAGAGTGTAAGAGAGTGATATATAAGGAATACAGGCAAAGAAGTAAAATTGTTCCCAAGCACTTTATAAGCATTTCAGTGCAATAACCGAATAGTTATGACACAAAGGAAGCATTTGGATGATTTTTTACGTGGTAGAATTATCGGCCGTCTGGAATGTGGGCGTACCCAACTGGAAGTATCAGACGAACTAGGAATTGCCCAGAGTGTCATCTCCAGGCTTTGGCAACGATTCCAAGATGATGGTGAGTAGACGTTACAGCACAGGTCGCCCCAGAGTTACAAAGCCGAACGAGGACCGGTATTTGGCAGTTACTGCCAAAAGAAACAGGCGGAGCACAGCCTCAGACCTGTCTCGTCAGCTCTCTTCGGCGACTGGTACGACAATTTCAAGGCAGACCGTGTACAGACGCTTAGGGCAGATTGGTCTATATTCTCGTAGATCTGTCAGATGCGTTCCAAATGGTGAAATTGTAAAAGCTAACGTGGATCAAATTAAGCGCTATTACTAGGGAACTAAAATGCTTCTGTTCAAAACCATTTTTCAGGGGATCACCTAGCCGAAACAACAAAGGACCATTTAGAAATACGGTGAATTTACTATCGACGTCGGCGATGCTAGTCCTGGAAGGAAGAAGAAAGGAGGCCGAAAATAGGAAAAGGAAAAAAACACAAAGACGACGAATAAAAAGGCAACTGACGAATAAAGGGGGTGCGAGACAACTGAAAACATTTCCAGAAAGAAAGGAAAGTTTCAGGATCCCACAGATGCAGCGATCAACTGAGTAATCGACGATCAGTGGGAAGTCAACACACGAGGAACCAGATGATGAAAGAGCTTCGCAAAGACTTAAAAAATACGTTTACCCAACTCAGAATTTACACGCTAAACAGAAAATGCAGGAGGAACCACCCCAGCAGAGGAAATTCTAGAAGTATCAAAGGACGGTTTCGGTGGTACATATAACAAGTACTAGATGGTTCCGATGGCACTTTTGAAATTATTTTGAAACCTATCAATCTGAATTTTCTTTCTCTCCTAAAATTCAGTTTAGAATAAATTACTATTATATGAAGAATAATATGAAAAAATTAATGACTGAGGAAATTATCTTATGTGAAACAAACAAAAAAATAATGCATTATTACAAACCTACTCACCTTTAAAGTGAGTAAGCAAATGCAAACAAAAAAGCGCAAATACATTTTTTTATTTCAAAAATAAGAAAAAGAACACACTCAAATTCAGATTCATATTTTATATGCTTCTTGACTTTTTAATAGCTAATATTATCGAACATATTTTTTTCAAGAAGCAGTTCATATGCAAAACACTGACACCAAATGACATCATTTCAATGAGATTTACAAAATACGTGGTAGTGTTACAATGATTTTTTTTTTCTGTACTTAAATAAAGATTCTAGAAATGCGATACAAGGGAAAAAAAGTCATCTAATGTTTCATGATTGAATAAAACCTATGTAGTATTTTCGAAACACATTTTTCAGAAACTCCTTCCTATAACTTAAGTGTCTTTAAATATATAGCTTGCTGTTAACAAACAACGTAATAATAAATCTATTCACTAGAGACTACTGTTCTTAAGTACAATTTCTCGTGTGTTTGTTTCATAAAATAAAAATTTTGTTCCTGTTATAGTATATACATAATCAAAGCTCTTTTCGTGTTGAAGTATATGTATACAGAGTGCCCACTAAAGTCCGGTACTATTCGTTTAACTGCAGAATGGCTGTAGCGATAATCATCAAAGTGATGTCTAGGTATAGTAAAGTGGCTATGCGCTACCAGATAAGACCGCTTATAGCTCCGTGATGTCTGCGCTACAAGATAAGACCGCTTATAGCGCCGTGATGTCTGCGCTACAAGATAAGACCGCTTATAGCGCCACCTGGTAGAAAACGGCGGAATTAGCTTTTCTATCTCGAAAACGATACGAGATAGGAGGAAAACGTGAATTACAAAGCTATAGAGCATCATCGATTTGGTACGAAATGGCACCTCGTGGACATGAATGTTAAGAACAGATACCGTTTTACACGTCCATTTGATTGTTCGCGATCACATTGTGACAAGCCGAAACGATCCTAGAAAGAAGAAAAACCAGCTTGTTGTCACAAGCAACCCTTATTTTCAAACTTCAACTTCTCTCCATCAGCTGAAATGCACATCTGGATCCTTGTTAGAAATTTACGTTACACGCGCTGTAGCATACAGGATGACACGTTTTCATAAGCATCTCTAATATGTCGTTTAATGTGTACTGCAAAGTTTGTGGAGGGGTCGCGTACACCTGTTGCTTGAGGTATCCCCACAAGAAAAAAGTCCATTGGAGTCAGGTCAGGTGAACGTAGAGGCCACTCTTCGAAACCACCATACGCGATTATTTGTTCTCTGAATTCGTCCATCAGGAATTGCTTCATCTTGTGACGCCTTGTGCGGAGGCGCGCCGGCGTTTGGAACCATCCGGAATTGAAGCAACGGCAGGTGATCGGCAAAATCGGGTATTATGTCTTGCAGAAGTTCTAAATATCGTCCAGCCGTTAACGTACCCTAGTAAAATACTGGGTCAATTAGCCTCTTATTATAAATTCCAACCCAAACATTAATCGGAAACCGTATTTGATGTCGAATTTCGGCAGAATATGATGTATTTTCCACTGCTAAGTAATGAGTGTTCTGCCTATTGTATATTGCATTTTGGGAAAAGCATGCCTCATCCGTCCACATTATATCTGCTAAGAATGTTGGCAGGACATCACTCTGGTTCGTAACGAATTTGAACCATGCGAAATGTCTCTCGGCATCCTCGTCTAGTAATGCCTGATTAGGTGTTGGCTGGTATGGATAAATAACTGATTCATTTAGGATTTTTCAAACACGACTTTTTGAGAAGCCACATTTTTCATTTATCCCTCTTGTCCTGCTGTTTGTAATATGTGAGGACGTATGATAATGCATCTTCCAGTTATACTTTCCGCTCTACCTTAGCTGGTTTGCCAGATCGAAGTCGGCTAATCGCACAGCCTCTCTCCCTCTAACGTTTCACAACCTGTAGGGTGTTTTTGTACGAATGATGCGGCTCTGCAGAAAAACGTTGCCGATATAACCACGCTGCCAATCGTGCCTTGCCCCCACATTCACCGTAGTTGAAGTAGAACCATCCACAATAATCATTTTTTGAAAACTGCTCCCTCACCTTGAGCTTCAACATTCAACCCCGAGGAGATATCTCTTTTTATAGCAGTCTCAGGTGAACAGGTGGGACGTTTCACAATGCACAAATTCTCACACCAGGCTTAAAATGCGTTAAGTTGATGCGTTTTTGGGGACACGATTGTGAACGATCTGCACATTGTCTACTCTTTTTGTAAAGACAAATCAGTACAAAGATACACTCCGAAGGGTTTGAACCACAGTCCACTCGATTGTGAATTACAAGTGATACCACTGTGCCGCTATGCGGGCTGGTTTTTCGTGCAAACAATAATCTTTCCTCCTTTTGTTCAAGTTTCGTGATGGCACAGTTTTAGAAAACGTGAAGAAACAAATGTGCGTTTTCAGTGTTGCGTTTTTATCATTCATATCCAGAAGATGTCTTTTCGTACTAAATCGACGATGCTCTACAACTTTGTAGTTCACATTTTCTTTCTATCTCGTATCGTTTCCGAGATAGGGACGCTAACTCCGTCCATATTTTCCATAAGGTGGCGCTGTAAGCTATCTCATCTGGTAGCGCATAGCGCCACTTTACTAAACCTAGACATCACTTTTATGACTACAGCTGCAGCCGTTCGACGGTTAAACAGGCGGTACCGGACTTTAGTGAGCACCCTATATATATATATGTAGAATCGGTACTTACTGTCTAGGAATATGATGTTTGTAAACTTACTTCTTAGGTGGCTCTCTAGGGGCTAATAAACTAGTCCGATTTATGTAAAACTTGAATATTTAATGAAATATGAATAGTTGCTACAAACTACAAAGTAATTACATACGTAGAAGGAAATAGATGAGATAGATGAAGAAAAGGAATCGTCTTTACATTCAAACATCTTTTAATCGCGTCATCGTCTTAATGGCGGAATCGTCTGCCTTCTATCATCGGAAAAGTAAAAGATTTATTTTCACAGCTTGTCGCGTCATCTGATTATAATGAACGATGCCATCCCACAAATGCTCGTCCATCCTGATGGAATGCGGCCTCGCATTCTCGTAGCACCACCATCTACATCTAGGGATCTGAAAAATAAAATTTAAAAAAAAAAAAAAAAAAGTTTTTAGTTAATATTGAGGGAAAAGTAGTCTTAAAAACAGGCGTCTCAAGACCAGAAGAGGAAAATGCGTATCTTCACTGTCATTGGCTGTATACCACGTGACACTCCCGAAACGTTGATTCTTTGGTTTTAGGCGCTATTTCTGGTTTTTCGCCAACTGCAATTGTGTTTCTCGCCAATTGTTCAGCGGTTTGTTTAAATCAAGGATATTGCTTTTTTTTTTATTATCAAAATGGATATGTTTAAATGTAAATCTTGCAGTTCATCTTTTTATGCGAAAAGATATTTGAAAGCGCATGAGAAGCGTATGCACAAAGAATACACGAATTTAAATAATAAATTTGCACCATTTTCGTGTACGTATTGTACGAAGCAATTTTGTACAAAAAATTCTTTAGCTAAACATAGGATACGTATCCATAATATAAGGCGAAGTAATATTAAATGCGGCGAAGACGAATGCCGGGAACTATTTCCTACTACAGGAGATTTAAGATCTCACTTAGAGACTTGCCATAATTACAGCAATATGACCAAATGTATAAAAACTGGAGTTTCAAAAAAAGCAAGGTATGCAATGAACTTTTTATTATTTTGTTTTCCTAGTTCAATTATAAATAAGCAAAATATATTGCGTAACTTCTGTATATAGCCCTTAATCTTTTTACATTAAAATTAAATAGCTTCATTAAAGCTAGTTCAGCAATACATTTATTTGAAGAAACACCATATATATGGTATTATTAATTTAAGCTGTTTCAGCACACAAATATGCATTTATTTGAAAAAATTAACAAATTAATTACTTTGAAACATATAATTTCAGAACACTATAGTTTTAACAATTAAGATTACTTTTCTGTGTGGCTGCAATCTGCATATTTTTATTTACTAATCAGATGCCCTTATTATGAAAATTTATACATTTATTTATTTATTAGACTTTTATTCATGGCTATCGGATGAAGAAAGAAAAACAAAGACTCATTTTGTGGTAGATTCATCTGGGCAGAAAACATAAAAATTACACCAGGACGCTGTTTTGCTGTAATAGAAGTGGGACATACAAAGCAAAAGGCAAAGGTGAAAGACAGCTAAAAGCACAAGGGGACTTCCAAAACAGGTTTCTCTTGCACAGCTACTGTCATACTAAAAGATTTTGGCAATCGTTTTGAAGCTGTATATTTTAAAGAACATTACAAGCATGAAAAATCCCTTTGTCATCTCCCTATTCCTAAACAAGAAAAGCAAAGTATAGCAGGCAAGTTATGTGTTAGACCGTATTTTGATTGTATTAATTTCTCTTAAATAAAACTATAATTACTTATGCAGTTGGAGCCTTTCTAGCTGTCATTAATATACAGGTGGTTCAAAATTCCAAAAGTGAATGAATTTTAATATTAATGAAGTTGATAACGAAAATCATTCATGGAAAATTCAGATTGGGAGAGAAACACGTGAGTGTGAAATTTAAAATTAGTCTTAACAGCAGACTTAATTTGCATAGATTTTAAATAAAATTATCAGCTTTGAGGACAATCAGACACAGGTATCTCTTCAGGAGTACAAAACTTTTGCAAAATGGAAGGAGTGGGTAGAGCAAAGTAAAGATGAACGTAACACTCTCTGTTGTGGAAAATAATAATGAAGCATGTAAAACCAAGATATTATAATTCTAAATGTGTTATGAAGGAATTAACACATTTATAATTCTAATATCTTAATTTGTTATATTTCATTACTGTTTTATCTGAATGGTTCAATGTTTGTGTTTCTCTGTCATCTGCTTTTAATATAAATTTGGATAATTCTCTTGAAGAAGAGGGACCTTGAAAATGCTGAAGTTTGATTCAAAATCTAGATGAAACTAAGATTAATATTTTGCCTGATTTAAAATTATGGTAAATTGTTTTCTCTTGTATTTATGAACAGCATATTAAATATTTATATAAAAGTGATTAATTATCTATATTTAAGTAACCTGAGATTTGTAACAATTGTTTTTCTTATTATTAAATTAAGTATCATATTTCTTACTAATCTACTGTATAGGCATATTTGTAAATTTAAAGATACTTTTTTTATTCCATTAGTTTTTAGTATATAAGATACATCTGTCATGATATTTACATTTTTCAGTAACTATATTACACTAATGAGCTAATAGTCAGTTTAGAGTTTTTGCCAGTAATCTATTGTCACATTTGTGAACAGGTGGTGTGGCTACACCGGACGTTGCCAGAGCGGACACGTACAATTTCGCGACCAGAGCAGACACTTCGAAACTCATCGTGGTTAGAGCTGCACATCTTTTCCCCATCTTAGAACAGATAAAGGGTGCAGATAAATAAGTAAATAAATACTTTTAAAAATTGCAAATATAATTTAAAACAGTATTTTAAGTGCCAAATCTCTTTTACCGATGTTTTCTGTTTTTGCACTCGATTATCGAATTACAATGATAAATACATTTTTGCCAATCATATTTAATTATTTATATGTATTTAAATTGTGATGATATTATAGTGCGAATGCATTTTAAACATAGCGAAATGTAATAAAAATAAAAACTTTTGTGTAATATAAAAATGTAATAAAAATAAAAATTTCAGGGATTTTGTGGAAAACTGTATTTTAGAGTCAAATATTAGAACAGGTGCAGTTACCATAAAATTAATTAGCTGCATTAATGTAAGTAAAAATAAATATTAGAAGTAAAATATACAAAACAGATACTAGTAAATAAATACTAGCTATCCTTTATTATAAAGGCATAAATATAATTTACAATTTAGTCCAACCTAGTTACAAAACTTAAAGATTTTAGACATTTTTCTAAATTGTTTGATGTTTCGAATTCTTTTAGGATGTTTTTAATTCTTTCATCCAATTTTACATATGCTTTTTTCCTTGTTATTTCAGGGTCGCCTAATTCTCTGGCTTTCAAATTAAAAGACACTTTTTTGTGTTTCTTCTTTTAGTATTTTAACTAATAAGTGCACAATAGGCTGGTTTCTGCCAGTGATTGTGTTTAATTTAGAATTCCACCTTTCAACAGAATTATTTGTCTTATGATGCTGTCCATGTACATTCCGTATTTTAATGGGCATATTTTGATTTTCCATTCACTACTCGACAAAAGAATCAATGAATGTGGTAAGTTTGTCAATGCTAAAAGCTTTTTCCTATACAATGCTCTAAGTATCATCTACATGTTCTATTGGCAAGTAAGCTAAGGCAGAAATCATTCTACAGACATGTCTTATATCTTCGTTCTCTTTATATTCCTTTATTACACCCATTTCTCCCCATTCATCTTATGTCACAAACATTGATTAAAATGAAAGTTACAACCGAATATAGTCGAACTGGGAAATTCTAAACATACAGCTATTGATGGCTGCGGCTTCAAAATCAAATTTTATAATGTCCGGCTTCTACTTAGGGTACCAACATTTCACTTCCTGAAACATTGCAACTTACGTTGCTTGTGTCTTATAAGGCAGAAATGCAAAAAAGCGCTGGATAAATATTGGTCTCAGTTGCTGTACTCCTTAAGTTGATGTTCAAATTTCAAAACACTTACTATTTTATATATTGTTGAAAGAATTGATTAGGGCAATGATTGTAATGTTCATTAAAAAAAAAAATTCAGTTGCAAGCTGATATTCTAATATCATACCATTGTTTGCATGGAATTCATATTTAGTAGGTATAAAATAATATAAAATTTTCTTTTCAAGTTCATATAAATGAAAAACTTTATTTTGCATATAGTATATATAATTTTTATCTCCTAATTATCTTTTTAAATTATTTCAGGTAAATTATTGCAGGGGGTGGAAGAGAAACGAATTTTGCAAGATGCAAGATTCTCTTCGAGAGATGATATTGAAACAAAACAGTTAATAACGAGAAAAGACCTGCATAACATTAAGAGGGATTTTGGTCTGAGCATTAATTCTAAAGGATTAATTTTAACAGATGATGAGACAAGTGTTTGGTCCTGGGTTAATACGATGTCGCAAATGGAATTCAACCCCGTTCTGATGTATAAACGTCAAGGAGAAAAATATGCAAATGTAAACGAAAATGATTTCATGTTAGCAATAATGACAGAATTTAAAAAAAAAAAAAAATGTTGATAGAATTTGGTAATGATAGAATCTGTATTGATTCTACACATGGAATTTCTGCTTATGGATTTGAACTTGTAACATTGCTTGTCGTTGATAAGTATGAAGAGGGCATACCAGTTGCTTTCTTAATATCATCAACAGTATCAGAAAAAATTTTGGTAAACTTTTTTAACTGCATCAAAAAGATCATTGATATCAAGCCAAAGGTTTTCATGAGCGATGATGCTCCCATGTTCTATAATGCATGGGAGCAACATTTGGTTCTTGCCAAAAATTATTATGTGCTTGGCATGTGGACAGAGCATGGAAAGGTCATTTGAATTCTGTGCCAAAACATAAAAGACAAGCAGTGTACAAAACTTTAAAAACTTTAATGTATGAATTAGATGAAGAAATGTTCAACAAAATGTTAGAAACATTTTCTGAGCAACTATGTGAAGATGAAGACACGCGAGAATTCCATAAATATTTTATGACATACTATTTTGAAAGAGCCAAAATGTGGGCATACTGTTTCAGAAAAGGGGCTAAAATCAACACCAATATGTATGTTGGAAACATTTCATCGGAAATTAAAATATATTTATTTAGATGGGAAGAAAACCAAACGGGTTGATAAATGTATCATCGAGTTAATTAATCTTGTCAATGATCAAAAGTTGACACTTACATAAAATATCAGAAAGGAAAAATAACAAAGAAGACAACAAAAACATTTCAACGTCATAAAGCTGCTGAGCTTTTAAATGCTAACTGTGTAAAAAAAGATGATGTATGGGAAGTTTCATCAGAACTGGGAGAAAATTCTTATAAAATTATCAGAGATCATGTTTGTAATGATTTATGCCTCATAACTTGTAGACTTTGTTCATGCTGTTTAAAAGCTTATAAATGTACATGCCATGATTATTCTATTTTAAATAATATGTGTAAACATATACATTTTGTAATCATGTCTGAAAAAAAAGACAGAACCTTATATAGGCCCTCTAAACAGAATACCTACTAGGAATAATTATGAATCTTTAACAGTAAGTAAAACATACATAGTGAACTTATTCAATCTTCATTTTCAATTTCTGAAAAAAATTAAACTGCATTGAAAATATGGACATTAATCTTGCTACACAAATAAAAAAGCATTTAAATGCAATTGAACATTTATTAGAAGTTCCTTTGTTAGATAAAGCACATGCTTCAATTTCAAAAGAACCAACAAATAAAAAAAATTGTTCCCCAAAGAGATTTTATTCAGTTTAAAAACGAAAAGTGTGTGTAAAAAAAGTACAGTTTGGAAATCCTTCAACAGCAGAAAAAAAATAATACCAAACCTATTTTATTAAATCAATTAATTGTTAATTCAGATCCCAGCTATGATCATTTGTATTGCAGTGAATTGAATGCCAAAAGTTTAAAAGAAAAGTCACTAAATAATGTTTAAGAAAATTATGCTATTTAAGTATTTTTAAAATTTGTGTATTTATAACAAATTATTTGATTTTTATGTAACTAATCTGGATGTCTCATTTTAATTTAATTATGTATCTTATTATAAATTTAATAAAATTGTTATAACTGTTCTACTGTATATCTAAGCTATGCATTTATCCTATACTTAATCTACGCATACATTAAATCTATTTATAAAGTCATGCTTTATAATAACTATTCTACTGTAAATGTGAATTACACATTTATCATATACATAATCATTGTCCAGTTAGGTGATAGGATTGTTGATGTTTCTTTAAATAATGAGTCCAGATAAGCAGGATGGTATGAACAATTTATTAGGAGAATAGGCACAATACTATTACACACAGAACAAAAATGGCTGAAAACAAATCAAGGAGAATAGGGATATTTAGCAATTCACTTCTCATGAAATAAATTCTAAAGTTTCCTAAATCACTCTCTCAGGATAAACACTAACTTGTAATTCAGCTAACTGCAAAGTCTGGCACCTGATTCACAAGCTCTCTTGTTCTCAGACCCGTATTTATACTCTGCAGGATGTGTTATGCAAGATAAATGCAAAGTTCGTTATGACACGAAAACCTATTTTCGAAGCCCTGTGACCAATTCATCCAGAAGTTTCTAGAGCCATGCTGCAACAGGCATCTCAAGATAGATAACGCAAAATGCTTATCTTTACTGTCATTGGACTATATCACATGACAGTCCTGAAAAGTTTTTTGGCTCTATTTCTAGTTCTCCTCCAACTGCAATTGTGTATCTCGTCAATTGTTAGCAGTTTGTTTAAATCAAAGAGCTTGCACTTTGCTTTTATTACTGAGATGGATATTTAAACATATTTTTTTCCATATTATATATGGATATATTTAAACATAATGCAAATCTTGCAGTGCGCATCTTTCTATGTGATGAGATATTTAAAAGCACATAAAACGTATGCACAAAGATACCGTCGCTAAAGTTACGCCATATTCGTCATCAATTTTTTTTTTAAGCTTTTAAACAAACACAGAATATGCATTCATAAACGTAAATGTGAAAAAATATTAAATTCAGCAGTGAAGTAGGATGTCTAGAAACTGTTTCTCACCACAGGAGATTTAAGATCTCACTTTTAAGTTAGTTTTAAGTCACTTTAAGATTAAGATTAAAGACTCGCCATAATTATAATAACATGATAAAATGTATGAAAACTTAGAGTTCCATAAAAAAACAAGGTTTGTAATGATCTTTTCCTTATTTTGTTCTTTAGTTCAATTATAAATAAGAAAAATATATTACGTGACTTCTGTATATAGCCCTTAAACTTTTTATATTCAAATTAAATAGCTTAATGAATACGGTGTTATTCATTAAAGCTATTTCAGCACACACATTTATTTGAAAAAACATATATATGGTATTATTAATTTAAGCTGTTTCAGCACACAAATATACATTTATTGAAAAAATTAGCATACATTAATTACTATAAAACTTATAATTTCAGATCACTATAGTTTTAACAACTAAGATTATTTTCTGTGTGGGTGCAATTTGTATATTTTTATTCTAATGTCTTATAAAAATTTAACAAAAAATGCAACTTATTTTTTTTATCTACTGCCATGTATAATTTGTTGTACTACTTGTTCCTTAATATGGAAAAGTTGTTATAAAAGTGCACAGTATGGCTCATAATTTGATTTCAATGTCTCACTTTAACTTTTTCTTTTTTTTTTTTTTTTTTTTTTTTTTTTTTGTCTTTTGACCAGGAAAATTTATTATGAATTATTATTGTTTTACATATATTATTATTAGTTACTGATGAAGATCAATAATGGTTTTGGTTTGGTTTATTTAATTACGGCTATCTGCCTAAGGGAAGGGATGCCTTCGTGGAGGACTTTCTAAGGGAAACTGGCTCGTATACACGTTACACATGGGGAAAAACCATGAAAACGCCCATGCAGCCAGCCCGTTCGCAGGATTCGAACCTCGGGACCGAACTACCAGTGTTCAGTGTCTTAAACGGCTCGGCCTCTGGTGGGCTATATGAAATAACGAAAATTTGCTATCTTTGCTTTATTTCCAGCATAAATGCAAGTGTTTTATTTTAGGAAAATAAAGCTGAATAAAATTTGTATATTTTTGCTAATTTTTTTAAAGATAATTTTAACTATTTCCATTTGTATTATGGAGAATAACGAGAATGAAACAAGTAAAAACCTTTCATCAGATAACAAATAAGCGAAGATGCCAAATTTGAATATTAAGCGATAAAAAAATTTAGAGAGCACACTACTCATACTTATCTCAGATGTTAAAAAATCTGTTGGTTTATATAAAAAGTTGACTAATTCTTAATACAGAATACTATAACAATGCAAGCACTGACATAGTTTTCATAACCCTACATTTAAAAAACATTATAATTTAAAGATATAGCTTTTCCTGAAAATACACCATAAAGTACCACATTTAACCAATTTGTTACAAGCTTGATACCATGTGAGCAAACTTGAAACTGCATATCAGTTAGATTAAAAATGAAGAACAAGAACTGAATATGAATAAGGTACTAAATTTTTAAAAGTCTATAATATAAACAGGCTAAATGAAATAATGCATAAGTGTATATTTAAGTATTTATGGTATTAATTTTAGAAAAACACCTATTGACTCAGGAAAGTTTCGTGAAATTTAAACCAAGTACTGAAGTTGCATTCATGCCAAAATGAAACCACACTTTTTATATGCTCATATTTTATTGTGGAATGTAAATACAAGTAATCAGGAATACAATGAATTCACAATATTAAAAAGAAGCAATATTAAAAAATCACAGGTGAATGAATGAAGAATAATCTTACGAACACTCTATAAACTGCTTTTAATTTTTATACAACATATGAAATTACCTTGAATTATAGAAGAAAGGTAGTTGAACAAATATGAAAATGAGATTTCATAACGAGGATAACTTCATGCAAAATTAAGAAAGCAGCTGCTAGAAATATTGATACTCTTCTGTTATGAGGATTGATTGTATGTATGTATATACATGTGCATGTCTATTTGTGTGTGTATGCATACATATATATATATGCACATGCAAAAATATATATACCAATTGTGGCCAATGTGCGGCTCGCGAGCCTTATACGGCTCTTGCAAGGCAATTTGTGCGGCTCATGCATATAAAATTATGTATGAAATATGGTAAACTAAAACTATTCAGTGGTCCAAAAGGAAAGTAGTAATTAATTAGTTTAGACTCTTTTTACAAAGTTATCAGGGATTTCTTTCTATTTAAAACCTCCTCCACTACTTCTATAATGATGTAAATATGAACTTGTGGCTTTTAGAAAATTTAGATGCAGCTCTCAAACATTCCTGAATTCAAACGTGCTTACTGAAATGAAGTTTGGCCAACTCTGATATATACATTTCTGAATCTGGTTCCGATAACAGAACAGGGCCAAAATATCTTGTGAAAGAATATATATTGAAATGCCTCACATTATTTATTAAGTGAAATGGATTTGAAAAAAAAAAAAAAAAAAAGGTACAAAAAGTTGTATCTTCAAAATAAAACAATATGTTAATATGTAATTCCTTAACATCAGAAAACATACTGACAAATTATCAAAAACATAAATGATATTCTAATGGAAATTATAAGTAGATACACTTAT